GTGGTAGAAGTGGCAGTGCCCCAAATCGGATGGGATCGAGTCAAACAAGTCAAAACCGGTTCGATTTCAAACCGGAAGATAATCATGCCTATAGAAATCGGATTGACTTGACACCGGTTTAGGGGAAACCGGTTCGGAAAAAACAGGCCAAATTGAAAATATTTTCACTCTGTTTTGTTGTTTATAATTGCTCTTCTCTGGTAACGATAGCCCATTAAATTGAAAAACAGGCCAAACCGGTTCGGAAAAAGCGTATGCTTTTGTATTTGGCCCAAGGAGACATCAAAAATAAATAATTAATGTGGCAGTGAGTAAACTCCGAAAGCATTACTACATGAGGCATAAGGCTTTTTTTTTTTTTTTTTTTTTTTTTTTTCATAAATATAGATAAAACATTAAAATAATACCTATTCAAACATAAAAACATTAAACATAGTGCTTTTTTGTTTTGATTAGTCGTCCTTTTATTGTTTGGATTTAATCATCATCCTTCATGTCGCGTAATTTTGATTCATATGCAAGTTTCTATAAGATAAATGGTATTTATATTCCCATCACTATTTCTCGTTTAACCCTCAACAACTCGTAACCATTTTATATTCATTCAACGCCAGCTAAGTAGTCTTTGAAGCATATGCATACTTCCAACGGCAAAGTGGTAAGTTTTGTTCTTCTAGATTATATAACAAGGCCACTAACACGAAAAACAAATTCCAAAGCTATTGTAGAAGTTTGAACGGTTAATACATTACGGACCATAGCGGCTAGAATCGGAAATTAGGATTCCGTATTTTTACACACAGGCAAAATATCAAAATTCTCAAACTCTATATTTATATGTACCAAAAAGTCGGATCCAATATACCTTTCAAGTTGGCTACTAGGAGTGCTAGACCGAACTTGTTTGATATTTTCATTTCTGAAAGTATTATAGTGTCAAATTGTTTAGCTATTATCATGAAAAGCAGATCCAGATGTCCCTAAATTTCGCATCATGTCATGAATGTTTGTTGAATCGTATTTTGTTAAATAAAACATTAGACAAATTTTGAAAAACTTTATTAAAATTTGATATTTCTTTTGAATCATAATCTTAATATTTTTCTAATAAACCCAAATCATAAGAATAAGAAATGATATAATCAACCCAGCCAACATTTATAGTCATGTTCAAAACCGCGACACAATTTATAATGGGAAGCATACTTTTGAAATATTTCATAAACTTGCCCTTCATTGGTTTCACCATTTTCAAACATGTCACTCCACATTTCAATCTCATTTTTTTTTTTTTTCAAACACATTAAAAATATTTGATTTAAAGTTAAACGACTTGGAGGATAATAAATTTGTGACTCAAAAACAGCTGCATTTTTTTAAAACTCCAAGCATTTTTGGAAACAATTAAGTTGGAGAGTATATCAACTCGATTTTGGATAAGGCATAATTCGATTACGTTCCACAAGGTTGTCATGAAATATTTTAAAGTATCTTTTTGATGTAAACCACATTCAAACATGTTACAAGTGCAGTTCCATCGAGTAGGTATATCTCAGTTCGGACCTAAGAAAAAGGCATTCACATCGATACAAAACTTAATATATTTATGATATCAAACGTTAATATAATAAAAATATCACAAAGCATTTGCTTGACAGTTTTTTTTGACCTTCAAAGCATTTGCTTGACAGTTTTTTTACACCTTCAACGTTGTTATTCAATGCATAATCAAATGATATAGAAAAAACTTTGCCTTGTAGTTTATAAGTTTTAATCACATAAGTTATGATTCTATAAAGAAAATTCAATGGTAAATTACACGAATCGTTTCTCGCGCAGGTGCTAAAAAGCATGTATAATCTATATTTTCAAAAATTAACTCGGACCGTCGCGCATATCATTAAAAGTTTCACACTTCATCCCTACGGACATAAAAATATTATTTTGCCCTTAATAAATTCTTTTTTAATTTACTTTTGTTTATTTATCATTTCTAGATTAAAAAAATATTAAAATATTTTTAAAAATTATAAAAGTTCATTTTCTTTTATAATTTCTTTTTACCCCTCTTTGAAGCTCGAACGACACCACGAGATGTTGCTCTCACTTTCATTTTCTTTGTATTGGTTGCTTTGATCATCCTCTTTTCTAATTAACATCACACCTTCCATGAAAATCAAATCTGATAACTCAGTTTCTCTAAAATCTAAACACCAATATTTCCCACAGTTCACTCTATTATTGCATTATCATCAAGATTGTTGGAGAAACCCTATTTTTGGTTACTCACTTTGGGAAATTCGATTATTCCTTCGATTAATCTGTGAACTTTGGTGTATGTATAATGTGATATATAGTTTGAGAAATGAATACTGATTGAATGAAGAGTTTCAAAGCTCTTGATATGAAAGAAGAGACTGATGTTCCCGAACTTACTGTTAGAATTATGAGTAAGGTAAAAAACTTGAATGATGTCGCTAACCTATATATGGAGACTAGTAAGTTCTCATTCTTAATTTCATATATGTTGGATCCCACCAAAAATGATCCATAAACAAAATCCAAAATTCACCCCCATTGGAATTGAATCATGAAAAATCCCAAAAATAGATGGTTTCCGAATTTGATGCTTTAATTGAGTTTCCATCATACCGAAGACGAAAGAGAACATCCCTTACTTTGTTACTAATGCCTAATGCTTTCAACTAGATTTCTAGATGTTGGTGCTTCAATCGGGTTTCGGGACTCGATGATTTATATGGGAGGAATCAACCCGCTTATTATCGTTAGTTTATTTGAGTGTTGGAATCAGATCCAGTGATGGAAGGAAGGTGCAGGGTATCAACTAGTGGTTCGAGAGCTTGTAAATCGGGTGTCGATTATCCTCTTCTTGTGACACTCTCTAATTTTCAAAACCAAAAAGAACTTTCTTTACACTTTAAAAATCATGATACTTCATTGACTTGCCACGTCGTGATGGTCCTTCACCATGTCATGGTCCCTAAAGGACAAAACAGACGATCTGACCCCCAGTCGCCACAGTGTGGTGACCTGACACCACGTTATGGAAACAGGGTTCCAAACAACTTAATTGATTAAGATGTTTTCTTCAACCTCTCGAGCTACAAAGCTCAGATCTCACTAAAAACATGATCTAGAAGGATAATGTTTCTAATTTTGCCCCTAAGGACCAAAAATCAAACCCTAGGATCCATAAGGCATGAACTTAATCGTTAAGCATTTATTCCTTTAAATATGAAGTCTATCTTCTCCTATAGTGTTTATAACACCAAACTAACCTAGAAGTTGATGCTTTATAGACATGCATGTCCAATGCATGTCTTGAATTCATATTAGGTCAAAATAAGGGTTTTATGCCCTAAATCCCATGCATGGATTGAAAACTCAACCAAACTCCATATCCAAGTCACAAACTATACCAAATGCCCTAGAGATTCATAAAGTTGCAAACTTTTTGAGATCTCATCATCTCAACAAATAAGAACAAGAAGTTTATGGGACAAAACTCAAGATCTAACTGTTAGGTTTTAGTATACTACAACATCCTATGGTGCACATACAACCCTAAATGCTTTGGATCTATGTTTTCTCTAATTATACATGCAACATTGTTTCCAAAGCATTAAGCCTACAACTAGCATACAAATGTCATAAACAACATAAAATACTAGTTAGGAGTTTACCTTTTTATGTAGCTTGTAGAACTTGTTGTGTTTGGCCTTTAAGAACTTATCACCAATAGTATGAATGCCTCAAATGGAATCACAACACACCTAGGACAAATGATGACTTTTGAGAGAATATCCTAACACCAAAATTGGCTTAATGACCTCCAAGAACACTAGTGTGTCATTTTGGATGCAAAGGGACTTCTTATATAGTGCGGAAAGATTAGGGTTACACCATGTAAACCCTAATGTGTGTGACCTTCCATATTCCTTAGGCTCCATAGGTTTAAACCTCCATGGATCATCCATGAGTTGTCACATAGGTTTAGCCCAACCTAAGGAATCATGGATCATTGGCCCACACCATAAGAATGCATGATTTACCAAATCAACTCCTTATATTTAATTAGTCTCTTTTGATAATTCTTGATCAATACTAATTAAATAATATGATTTCATATTAATATATTAGAACTTATAATAAATTAACAAATCATAAATAACCTCTTCTCAAAAGTCCATCCTATCAAATTGTCCTGGTGAAATGCAACTCAAATAGACCATGCTACTCTCGGGTCAAGTACGTACCAGTTATAGTTATGGGCTTAGACACCTAATCCAACAGTCTCCCATTTGGATAAATCTAATAACTATTATTGAAAGTATGAATCTACAACCTGACTAGCAATTGTAGCTCTTAAAAGTCGTTATCAAACTCTGACCTGGTCAATGACGCGTCCATTAGATAAGGGATCATATATTCCTCCATTCTAGATATCATATGGAGTGAGACATGGATTATAATCATTCTCTTTGTCCATATGTTGTTTCCTGATTTCCGATTTATGAAGACCGACTAATTGAACAAACCAAATCAGTTCAGGCTTGGCCAAGCACTTAGGGGTGTCATCATTAAATCATTGAGGAGACCACATATATCTCTTTTATCCCTCATTGGGTAAAAGGGAATGGATAAACTTCGACTCAAATGCTTGCTTGTACTTACTCATCAAGTTACACACAATAATATGTTTTATAACACTAAGTTACTGGTGCGTTTACATACGTCAATGTGCAACCGACGTGTAAACTACAACTCACATGTCTTGGTTTCAAGAATATAAGATATTATCATCTCACAATCACTCGTGATAAAATCCATGAAGTGATTCAGATGATGTGGGTTGAATCCAATACTCAAATCTTATTCCAGGATTACTCATGAACACTACAACTATGTTTAAAACACCTAGACAAACTACAAACTCATTCATGATAGTCTTGCCTCAATAGCTACTTCCAAAGTATGAT